GTCGAGGCTGCGGTGGCCTGGAGCTGCCACTGCACTCCAGTTTGGGTGACAGAGTGAGGCTCCAACTCAAAAAAAAAAAAAAAGAAATTAGCAGGTCATGTGGAGAGAAGTGCCTTGCATTATCATAGGCACCCAGTAAACAGACCTGGAGATGAAGGCAGGCCTGTTAGGGAGGGTGGAGGCTGGGTTGGGCAGGGAGAGCCTTGGATTGGACAGCATGTTGTCTTGCCCAGTCCTCTAGAAGGTTGGGGATTGCCAGATATGGCACCCTGCTGCTTGGAGGCTCAGGTTGCCAGGAAAGGCATGCATGCCCTCGGCTGAGACACTACAGTGAGGTGAGGCCAGTCACCTGTAATCCTAGCACTTTGGAAGGTTGAGGCAAGGGAATTGCTTGAGACCAGGGGTTCGAGACCAGCCTGGGCAACATAGCAAGACTGCGTCTCTACAAAAGAAAAGAAAAAATGCTGCTGGGGGTCTGGAGCTGGGCAACACCATCCATAGCCATCCCACCTTACAATGATATAGGCAAAGCTGCACACACTCTTGGGCATCCATTGGTGATCATCTTGCACCAGCATTCTTTCCAAGTTAAATAAATATAAATAGTGGCTGGGCACAGTGGATCACGCCTGCAATCCCAACACTTTGAGAGGTCGAGGCAGGAGTATTGCTTGAGCCCAGGAATTTGAGCAAGATCTCTCTACAAAAAAAATCAGAAAAATAAGCCAGGTATGTGTGGTGGCAAGTGCCTGTAGTCCCAGGTACTCAGGAGGCTGAGGCGGAAGGATCACTTGAGCCCAGCATGTCAAGGTTGTGGTGGCTATGAGCAGCATGCTACTACACTCCAGCCTGGGCAACAGAGTAGATCCTAACTCCAAAACAGGTATAGCTGAAGGAGAGCTTTGCCCTGGGGGTACAGTTCTAAGTTCTGTTCTAGGAGTCTACTAAGAGTGATGGCCAAGATAAGGAAGTGGCTCTTGGCGCCTGTGGAATTGCTTGCAGGGAGGGCAGCAGTATGTATCTGAGGTCTGGCTGAGTCTGAGGGAGCCTACAAGAGGCCAGATGGGACGAGGCCAGGAAGGTTGTGAGGACTTGGCCGCATCACAAAATGCCCCGAGACAACCACTGTGTCACTCACCATCCTGTAGGTTGGAGTCTAGTCTCACACAGCTGCAGTCAGGAAGGGTGGGCTGGCCCCTCTCGCGGACTCAGGAGCTGCCTAGGCTTCTCTGGGCCTCCCATCAGCTTTGCTTCTGGGAGTGGCTCCACCCTAGAGGCAATAAGCGGCGAGAGCTGCGAGACATCACCTTGGCTGTCCTCAGGGTTCCAGTCCTCACCAAGGTCCACCCAGCACCCAGGTAGAGATGTGACTCCCTCTACTCAGGAGGCACCCGGGACCACATCACCAAAGGGTCACGTGGGGTGGCCGCTTGAATGCCAGTGAGCCTCTGGGTGAAGGGAACCACTGCAGGGTGTATCCACTAAGGCTACTGGCCACTGCTCTGCAAGTGGGCTGCAAGGAGACAGAACTGACCAGGCCATGGCTCAGTCCAGGCAAGGGTATCCCTTGGCATTCAAGCTGCCTTACTGGGGGCCCCAGAAGTGCTACCCAGCTCCCACCTGTTCCCTACTCCTGCATCTGCTCCCCAGAATAAAAGGCTTGATTGTAACCGGGCTCAGTGGCTCAGCCTGTAATCCTGCACCTTTGGGAGGCTGAGGTGAGTGGATTGCCTGAGCCTGAGGGTTCGAGACCCGCCTAGGCAGCGAGACCTCACCTCTACAATAAATCAAAAAATCAGCCGGGCATGGTAGCGCATGCCTGTAATTCCGGCTACTCGGAAGGCTGAGGCGGAAGGATCGCCGGAGCCCAGCAGGTCGAGGCTGCGGTGGCTGGGAGCGGCCACTGCACTCCAGTTTGGGTGACAGGGTGAGACTCCAACTCAAAAAAAAAAAAAAAAAAGGTTGATTGTCCCCCTCTGCCCAGTTGCTGTCATTTCACCCTCTCCCTCCCCGACACCTGGCTGTTGGCAAGTCCACATCTGCTTGCCTGTCCCTCCAGGGCCACCACAACATGGTGCACGCATTCCCAGGTTTGCTGGGTACAGAGCCACGGACTGGGCATGCCAGCTCTCGCTTTTGAAAGACAAATCTGTAAAGCTGTTCTTTCAAAAGAGTAAACTCCATACTTTTTTTTTTTTTTGAGTTGGAGTCTCACTCTGGTGCCCAGGCTAGAGTGCAGGGGCACGCTCCCAGCCACCACAGCCTCCACCTGCTGGGCTCCAGCAATCCTTCTGCCTCAGCCTTCCAAGTAGCCGGAACTACAGGCGTGTGCAACCACACCCGGCTAATTTTTTATGTATTGTAGAGATGAGGTCTCACCAAGTTGCCTGGGCGGTTCTCGAACCCATGGGCTCAAGCAATCCACTCGCTCGACCTCCCAAAGTGCTGGGATTACAGGTTGAGCCACTGAGCCCAGCCTAAACTCGGGACTTTAAAGTCAAATAGTTTTTTCTCACATTTTTCTTTGGTAATTTAGA